CTGGAGGCTTTGGGTGCCCTCACAAGCCCTTCAGAGCCACCCCTCCCTTGCTCCAATTACTGCAGTTCACTTTCAATCATAATGAGGATTATATTACTCCGAGAAGACACCTTAATTCAAATAGGCAGTTGAAATCTCTTAGATTTTCTATTGCACTAAGACAACTAACTATTACTGTGTGGAACTTCTTAATCATATGGTGTACATTTATACAGAATTTATTACCACAATGTCAAGGTACTCTTGGTAATATAAATATGCATTAGGGTTTATGGACACTGCTTTTAAATTTGGATTACTTGAAGTGGCCGATGAAGATCTTTACATTGCACCAACCAAGTCTGAAATTCAGGCTGATGTGCTATTCTGGTTCCCTGTCACCCCAATGGAGGAAATTGGCTCCCCTCATCTTTCCTGTACATCTAAGCAAAAGCAGGGGAGGTTGGTAGGGCAGTCTGCTAACTCTGAAAAGCTCTTTATTGTTTTACAGATTAACTGAGATGATACAGAATTAAGTCTAAAGAAGGGATTTATCTCTGGGAGACAAGTTCCCTAGACACCAGTAAATGTGTGGGGTTGGACTTGTGAGCAATTGTACCATTTTTGACATACTATTTTAAACTACTTCCTAATGGTTTGCAATATGTTCATTTGAAATATTAAGATTGCAAATTCCTGTTTTTACAACACACAAATGAGAAAAGACCTTGCTTTTCTATTAGGATCAATTTTGTACATGAAATACATAATTAATAATTATTCTCTTAGATTTTCAACTTTAAGAGAATAAAAAAAAGTATAAAATATATTTATAATATATCAGGACCCCATAAGTAGTGAAACTGAAAATGTCTCCTTAGTGCACAAATTCATTCAATCATGCTCTGTTTCTAAGAAGTGCATTTTTTCCATCCACGTTCTGGTGGAACAATATGCTATAATAAATTCTATTATAATTGCTGAAATGATTTTCAAATTTAGGGTCTATCTAAAGTGATTAAGATGACAGTGTTTGAGCTTTAGAGTAGTATCCAAAACCTATTACTGTTGATAAGAACTTTTTGTGCTTTTGTGGGGGCTTTAGATGTACATGTTTTGACTTGTGGCATTTGCATAGATGAATGCTGAAGAGGAGAGCACTTTCTAACAGGCAGTTTTATTTGAATTTATGATTCCATCTCTTTCTTTGGAATATGAACTTCTGTATTTTATTAAGAATTAGATTTTTTCCTGTCATTAATATGACAGCATTTATATGACATTTTATATAGCTCATCCATTCAGACTAGTTTTATTTTCAGAATTGGCTGCAGTTAATATTATTATTGAATCAGTCTTACCTGATTTTTGTGCAATTCTGAAGGGACAAAGTCGGAGGAAAAAAAGTCAGGCATTTTGATATGATCTAAGCTCTCAAGACCAATTTTCTTAAAGATTTTCTCCAGGTTCTCCCACAGCATAAAAAAACATGGTCTGTCTTCACTTTCTCCCTTATATTCCCTTATCCTTCCAACCATTTAAATGAAGAGTAGGCAAAAGATATTTTGAATTTTTACCAATCTAACACAAATAGAGTCAGCTTGGCGACCTGAAAAGTACTTTCTGAATTTTAAGCAATTAATTAGTAGTTAAAAGGATGGCTCTTTCATGCATAACACTCAATACAAGAGGACGCCAGAGCGATATAGCAATAGTGAAGTAGGAGAGGAGCAGGGATCAGGGATGCCAGGGTAGGGAGCTGGTTTGGGGCAGCATCTGGGCAGCGTGTAAAGCAGGATTCATTTCGGCTTGGGAGTTGTTTGTGAGAGGGGTATGTGGGAATAACTCTGTCTATGGAAACAGCAGCAGCCAAACATACAGAATTTGCTGTGGAATGGTTTGCAGTCAAATTTTAGTGGTGTGTTTGTGGGACTGTTCTTAGTTCAGGAAAAGTTCTCGAACTTGGACTTAACTCATTGTTAAAATGCAAGAGATTTTTATTTGCCTATCTCTTGAGGCAGATGCCAGAGGCTAAGTAATAAAGGTGATGGATATTAACAGTTAACCATGTCCAGTGTAAAAAAGATTTATTGTTGCTTCTTTCCAGTATATCTTCTCACAGCAGGATCTGCTACTCAAAATCTGTTTCTATTTGCAGTTGCTTAAAAATGATAGAACTAGGTGGTGGATTAAAACATACCCAATGCATTTGAAATATCTGGATAATGAAATGCATCCACACAGTATATGAAAATAATTGCTTTTTCTGTAGATTATAACCAAGCCAAGTCTGAACTGGTTTTCACAGGGTAAACAGAAGGGAAAAAGATCCTATTTGTATAGCCCCATTTTTCCATTGCCAAGCTCATTCTTCTGCCCACTGTAGCCTTGCAATACCTTTAAAGAAATAATAGCAAAACGATTTTTTAGTAGCCTTTCTCCTGGAAATGGCTGGTGTGTTTTTCTTCACACTTTCAACCTGAAGCAGATAACCTGGGAAGCCTGGAGCAAGGCCTAGAAGAAGTCTTTGAGTGTGGAGTTGTAAGGAATGCTTTTAGCCCCAGTTAGCAATGTCCCATTTCTCTTCTGCTTATCATCAGCAAGGGGATGCTACTCTCCTTGAACAAAAAACCCAGAGGTATATATTAGTCTCCCAATTTTGTTGTATCTTCTAGACATCTTTAACCTTTTTGCAAAAATTGTGGTCATCTGTTCACTCTTTTTATGCTTTCTTACAGGATTTTCTTTGCAAGAAGTACTTCAAAAGCCTTTATAATGGGTGATGCTCTCAGTGAGGCTTTTTCAATTTTATGATCCTCACAGCTTCCAGAATCTTTTTCAAACCTGCTGTTGAATCAGGGTGGAAACAGGCATTTGAAATGAATGCTTAGGAAAGTAATTATTTTTTCTCGGTGGTCTAGAGTGAAACATGCAAATATGAATAAACTGATTTGGACGGCATAGAGCTTTAATGCATAACCATTTATATATGAGAAAAATAATGTGTATTAAAATTTGTTGTTGGAACACAAGCTCTCTTAAAAGAACAAATTCAGAGAACACATTGAGGTTTAAAATCAAGACACTGAAGGCTTTAATAAACATGTTCTCTCTTTGAGGAATGCTGAGTGAAAGAGGAATCAAACAAGACGTTTGCAGAATTGGTGCAGAAGTGTTTTGTTTGATGTGGCAGACGGTGCTTCCATACGCCACAGTTTTTAACCTAACTTTGCCTGGTGTTGTTACACACTGATTTTGAAACCCTACTTTGGTAGGTAACTTCAGGGGAAATAAGGAGGAAAACTCATCCCTTGCCTGTAGGTCTTATGGAGAGATTTCCCTAGATATGGCAATTTCTCTGGAGGGTTGTTTTGTTGACATGGCTTTTATATCCAGAAATTAGCATCAAGCTGAATGTTTTTAGTCTGTAAAACCTCTTGCATGCTTTTAAGGGGGAACAGCAACACAAAGATGTCAATACTGCAAATGTTTGCTTTGTTTATTTATTTATTTATCTATTTATTTTTAGTCAGTCTGTGGAACTGTCTGAGCGATACAATTCCAGAGTTACTGTAATCTATAAATAGCAATTATAGAGCAGCACAAATCTAGGTTTTATGTGAGAGATATTTTTTTCTTCAGAATCTGAAATGTTAAGCATCTTTGTTTGGGCTTTGTTTATGTAAATATTGAGTCTTCTTGCATATCATGAAAACAAAGATACACATTCCCTTCGGGTAACAATGTTGCAAATCATTGTTTTTTATTGCTCAAACGCAGAAGCACACCAGAATCTCCATCCTCCAAAGAATGTATTAGTTTGCTTCCCCAAAGTGGCCCGGGTTGTCCCAGGAATTGCTGCCCAATGCTCTGAGCTAATTAGTGGATAGCACGTGATCTATCTCATAGGAGTTATTTCTATTTTTGAAACGTGTTCTCCATGAGATGCAGTAAATGGGGTTTAATAGCGCATATTCTAACACTCTAAAGAAAGTATAAGCACCTACTAGTATGAGAAGAAGGTTGAACCTTCTGAAGGTTGAAGGGTGGCCTGCAGAAATCCCTTCCAATCTTAATTTAATTTATGAGGATATAATTCTACCTTACCATCCATCTATCCACCTATCTGTCCTTACCTTGGCTAGGGCTGAGTTATTTTTACTAAAAAATAAGAAAAGATAAATGGAAAAAAAAAATCTGTGTACTAACTAGTAAGCGAGAGGACAAGAAAACCGGTCACTATATATAACCTGTATGAAAAGAAGGGAAGAGGTTTATATAATCAGGAGACAGCAACTTCATGAAGATTGCTACAAACATCACTATTTATATTTACTTTAGATAACAAACAAATTGATATTTTGATAATTCATATCATGGAAATTGTCTGTGGATGGATAAATGGTATGTTAAACAATTTTCAAAATTTAACATATGCTATCAAGCACAATATTTTGCTTATGCTTGTGTTTTTCTCTTCTAAAGAAGTAATTATAAAACAAATGCCAAGCAAATGTTAGGCAATTATTAATTGTCCGCCTGTGCTGAATGGCACAAAAGGCGTTTATTTGATGCTTACCCTATTTTCTGCTACAGTCAGTAAAACCTGTTGTGAGCTTTTGGGCCGTGGCAGGGAGCCCTTACCACCAACTGTGAAGTTCTTTCTCAATTCAGAAAAAAAAAGAGAGGGGTCCACTCTCACCTACAGTAAGATCATTTTGGAATTACTCATGTGATGCAATTCCCTTTGCTCACAGATTTGCATCGAAATTCAGCTCTTCTGGCCAGCAGATGGTCTTATCTTGTATAAGTAATTGAGAAAAGCGTGCAAAACCTGTACAGAACATTTGCACAGCACTTTTCAAAAACCTCCACTGTTCTGATGTTAAGGAATCCCATCTCATTTTCACTTAAACAGTGTTGTTGTTTTTACACTGTGCTTAACCCTTATGGCATGTTTATACTCACTGTCTTTAAGTTATTTGTATTGCTAACTTTGTAATCTCTGTGTTTTGATACAGCTGGAAACAGTGAGAGTGAGGGCCAAGAAGCGGTGAGGAAACTGAAAGAAGAAACTTTGACTGGAAAAGGTAACACAGTATGTCTTTTATTTTATTTTATTTATTTTTTTATTTTTTAAAGAGTTATTTATTCCTGTATTTTTGATGGCTATTCTCTGAGAGTGTTTATTGGCAAACCGATGATAAGAATACCTTTGTGTATCATTAAAGTATTTAGTTTGGGAAATTAATTCGTAAAGTAGATCTGACAGAGAGTTAGAAATTATTAGCATGATTTTGGCTGAAATGTTTCAATTTTGTTTGAGGTCTTTACATGGGTCATGGCCAAAGATCTGGCTGCAACTTCCACTGGTTGCTGAGAGTTTCAGTGCTCCATACACTGTATGTGTGCGTGTGTGTACGTGTGTTTGTGAGCACAGTGATTTATAACTGGGCATACAAACAGGACACGAGCTATTTCTGCTGCGGAGAAGATGACAGCAGGTAAGAATGGATGGGCTGTTTTCTTCATCTTTGCTGGTTTTACTTCTCATGGTATATGAAATCCCATTAAAAAAAAAGCTTCCCCTTTGGGGGAAGTTGTTTCTAAAAGAGCACAACAGTCAGCTCTCTTATTTGACACAGGGCTAGAGCTTGTAGTCACCCATAGTCAAACAATGTTTTTAAAAATAAGGCTTTTTTATCAAAGTCAAAATCTCCTTGTTGTTGCAGTTCTTTAGGTCTTGTTGTGTTTTAATTTAATGAGTAATAATGCGGGGATAGCATAAGGAGAGCATAGCTTGATTTCTGAGAAAAGGCATATTGCAAGCTATCTGCTGTATAATTATAATTTGCAACTTATGATAGATGTTACTGCATTTAATATTTTCAAGTCTTGAATTCATTGGGTGTAGTTCCTAGCAGTGTGTGATGATTCACTGCTGCCACTTTGATGTATCATTTCTTGGCAAAGTAATAGGGGAGTGCTGCTGCTCCACCCTATTAGGATCTTCATGGCTTCTGCTGAGATCTGATTCTGTTTTTGTGCCACTAATAATTACTGTTACGATGATCAAAATAAGTTAATTATTGTATTAAAAAAACCTTTCATTAAGATTTATCTTTTGACTTAAATAAATATGCACCTATCATAGCCTCAGGATACATGTATGCTAGCTAAAAGCATCGTAAATTAAGACAGTCAGAAGGATCATGAAAGGAAAAAGGTAATTATTACATCATTTAAATTTTTCACTGGAAGTTTCTGTACAGAGACCAAAACCATTTGGCATTAATTCTATCACATGACCTGTATGAAGTTGAATAAACTAAATTCTGTCTTATTTTCTTGCATGTATGTGGTCATAGATTTTTGTAGTGCTTCAGACTTGCTTAATTTTTCTGAAACTAGTAAGCTTTAACTTTCAGTTATAAACTTTTTGAAGTACGAGCTGGCAATTTGAAGAACCTGGAATTGTAACAAAAGTTGACTAAAGTGGTACATCATTGTAATTATAATGATTAAGGCTTCAGGAATTTCCGGTCTTGATAGATTTGGACCTAAAAGCAGCCTGGAAGGGTGTAAAGTTTTCAGAATGAGTTACTGATTGAAGGATATTTATATTTGAAACTATTTTATATCATACAGAGGACTTGTGCAAATTGGAAAAGGAGCTCTGGGTTCTCACTTATAAATGAATTTGACCTGTTGCTTTGTGTTGTAGTATGTATATAGGTATCATAAGGCATTATATATGTAAGTATTGTGAGGAGGACTAGGCTGGAGGATAGTGTCAGTTTTTTAAATGTTGCAATTTGATATATGATTAGTCACTGCATAATAACATCATGGGTTATCTTAACAATTTTCTGAACGATGAATTTTTGAACATATTTAGTGGTCTGTATGAGCAAACTGCTTACAGAAAGTGTTTCCATCTGGAATACTGAGTTCCTAAGGAGGAACTGCTTAAAACAGTTTTGCTGGACAGTTAATGATACTGTTGTATCAAAGTCCATATTGTAGGAATGTGATCAAGTACTAGGCCAAGAGAGCTGTGATTCTTATTCTATGGACAAACCGTATGAATCGGTGCCATAATTTTCTAACCATATCTTGAATCTCTAATGATGAGGAAAATCTCCTTGCTTGTTAGCAGGTTGTGCATAGAAAGGGAGCAAGAGACATCATCATCTCCTTATTTCCTCTGGACTGTAAGTTGCACAATATTCTGCAAAGAAAGCTCTCGAAAAAGGCCGTGTTTGTTGAATGCATGTGAATTACAGTGCTTCGAGGAGATGCAATCCTTCTACACCTTGGCCCATTCTCTCTATCTATCTCAGACTGTCTATCTAAGAATGAGCAGTTTTACTTGACATAATCTACAATCACTCCAGGGACAGGTGAATTTAAAAACATATATATACAGGTTTACTATGACGCAGCTGATCAATAGTAACTTGTGTGTTAACAGCTTCAGAGAAGGACGAAGGATAATAATAAAATGGCTTTGCCCAGGCATGACACTTGTTTTTGCATCAGGGCAAGATACGAAGAATAGACAGATAAAACTTTTAAATGTAGAGCAGTAGGTAGTCCAGTTTCCCATACTTGAGGGATTCAGGCTACAGTCAGTGCCACAAATATGGAAGGGCATGGGAGAGGAAGGCAGCTGTGGCAGTTCCCCTATGGAGTGGGACACAAAAGGATACAGAAAACCTAAGGCAAATGTCACATCCCCTCTTCTGACCACACACCCTCTCACATGGCCCTACGCCGTGCCACACAGTCTCCTTAGCTCTCCTTTCCTCTTCCTCCCCATCAACTCTGGTCTGTTTAGTTACTCTCCTCAGCTGGAGGCTTCTGTACTGAGTTATCTTTTGCTAAGTGTAAAGAGTGAGAAAGAAGTGAGTAGTTGATTGGAGGAAAATAAAATAGTAGTCCTAGAGATGTGGGTAAATTCAATTTGACTGCCAGGACTTCCTCCATGATAAAGCTATCAAAACCTTCAGGTATCCAGAATGAACCAAGAAAAGTGCTGCATTGTCATTAAAATTAACATATAGGTACTATTTCCAAAAGATCAAAGGCAACATATTGCTAAACTCTGAATTATAAAGCTGGGAGAAACCAGAATGATGTGGGCATTTATCTTGCTGCCATTTGTTAAATTGGAATCTTGTATTTGTTAATGGCAGCAATTATATGGTTGGGAAAATTGCTGATGACTAGGAATTTCCACATAGATATTCTATTGTGTAAGTTCCAGATTTACACATTGAGTGCGTCTACATTAGTGTTTTAGTTCAGATCAGGAGAGTGCTTTTCAGGCAATGCCAAGGTGCTTTCCACTTACTGAGCTTTGGTTGACATCAGGAATAGCATCATAGTTCATGACCGGGGTTCTCACTGGACAAAACTAACTTGGGAGATGAACTACAGCAATAAAAGACCATTAGTGCATGGGAGCAAACTCAAGCCAGTCTGAAATAAGAATCCCAGCAATCAATATAAGTACCTAAGTTGAGTGCCGAGCACAAATTGTGCTCTAGAGATTCAAACATGTTGATCCAAACTTCTTGTTAATGTAGATATAGCCATCTTTGCCACCCATGAATATGCTGTGGAGTTTGAGAATTTAGATGTTTCTGTGATAAACATTTGAGGGCTGCGCTACCATCCAGAGGGACCTGGACAGACTGGACAACTGGGCGGTGAAAAACCTCATGCAATTCAACAAGGCCAAGTGCAAGGTCCTGCACCTGGGGAGGAATAACCCCAGACACCAGTACAGGCTGGGGACTGACCTTCTGGAGAGCAGCTCTGCGGAGAAAGGCCTGGGTGTCATGGTGGATGATAAGTTGACCATGAGGCAGCAGTGTGCTCTTGTGGCTAAGAAGGCCAATGGGATCCTGGGGTGCATTAAGAAGAGTGTCTCCAGCAGGTCGAGGGAGGTGATCCTGCCCCTCTACTCAGCCCTGGTGAGGCCGCATCTGGAGTA